ACGCTAGATAGTTCTGACTATTGAATAGAGAGGTGGTGATTTTAAGGCCAGGATTGAGATTATCAGTCATAGTAGAAGGCATAAGGGAGCTCTCGCTCTTAAGCGAGTGAGAAGTGGTTGACTCACTAGTGAAATCTGCCATGTAGATTCTACTAAGTAACCCCCACACCCAAGACCAATCACACACCCGGAAGATAATAGTGGAAGGAAAGGCACAACTCCTCCTATGAAAGCATAAAGAAGAAAAGAAACCTTTACTGAGACAACAAGAAAGAAACAAGGAAAAATTAACAACATAACCAGGAAGGACTAACTAGAGGCGTTCTTGTGGCTAACCAGAGGCTAGACGACCAGCCAAGTAGGATCAAATGCCCTAGTCGACCACCTGGGAGGCCACAAATGCCCTCGTCGACCACCTAGGAGGCTAAACCAAAGGCTAGACGACCAACCAGAAGCTAGACGATCAGTCAGGTAGGATCGAATGTCCTAGTCAACCACCTGGGAAGCCACGAATGCTCTAGTTGCACACCCAGGAGCTATCACCAGAGAGAGAGAGAGAGAGAGAGAGACGACGACACTGTTAAGGTTGCCGACTGTCCTAGGCAAGGGTTTGGGTGGCCTGGGCAGTCTTGCTGTGGAGGAAAGGAGGCTGTGATTGGTGTAAGATTCCTCCTAATAAGGCTCTGATACCATGTAGGTTTAGAGAAGAGAAAGAGTTATGGAATGAGTTTGACTTTATCCCCTTTTATAGTGATAATATTGACTAATTACAAGAGTGCCATAAGGCATAATTTATGGGTCAGCCCATTACACCAATCAAGGGAAGAGAAAAAGAATAAAATACAATCAATATTATTTCTTATTCTAACAGTAAATTGCCTCCCTTCCGCGGGGGTGGGGATTTCAGACCGATGAGGGACTGTAGACGAATATCAACTCAGTCCTCTCCTACTGTGCTGGAGTATCTGTTGGTCGGTGTCGGGTCGGCCTCTAGCGCACTATTTGCCTTGGGAATGGTTTGGGCCGTGTCGAAGAGAAATATGGAACCTATTAATGTCCTATTAGAATAGGAAACAAGTTAGAATAGGAAATATGTGATTGTATTTTCTTCTTCTTTATTCTCTTGATTGGTGTAATGGGTTGACCCATATATTATGCCTTATGGCACTCCTGTAATTATTCAGTATTATTAATATAAAATGGAATGAAGTCTACCTCATTCCCTAACTCTTTCTCTTCTTTAAATCTACATGTCTGACTTGAGTTCTCGGGGTGAGGCTTTGCTCTATACTTTGAGATGCTCCTTCCGCCGGATGGCATAGACATAGAATGGGATTGATGGACAAATGCCAAATGCTCCAGATACTCACGGTACGGAGTTCACGGGGTTGCCCCCTAGTCTTCCACTCTCCTACAACTCGCGTTAAGTTTTTCAAGCCCACAAATCGCGGCCGGCTCTTTGCAGGGGAATCTCCACTCACTGCTTAAATGGAATGACTGAGGATCGGAATCATTGAATCAAAGCTTTCTCCTTCGACCATCAAAGATACAGGCAGGTGGATAACTAATAGCAGATAGCTCCGGGGTAGGGACTCGAATGGAATGAATAGCCCTAGGGGTTCACGCCCTAGAATTCCTTTCCCTGTATTTGGATTTGTCACAGGGGTTGTTGGGGCGGAAAACAGATAGCCCTAAATTCATATCCATGCTGGGGAAGTGCTGTGAGATCACTTTGCTGAAAAAGGCTGCCCCCCATAAGTTGCGGGTTGCTATGATCACTCATCGGAATGAAACACAGCCTCGGAACAGAATTATGCTGCTTGTTGGGCCCTGATGGTGGAATGGGTATTTTAGAGAGCCGGTGGACCCCAGACAAAAATGCTGTTACGAAGCGCCTTCAGTCCAAGTCACAGACGGTTATTGACAGCTTCTTTCTATTGGTTAAGGGTCACCCACCTGCTGGCTGGGCGAATCGAAGTTCTCTTCCAGAGAAAGCTAACTTAGGGAATGATAATAATATCACCCCTTTTATATTAATCAACCAAACTATTACAAAGGAAGCCCTAAGGCACTGATTAAGGAATTACAATATAATCTAAATAAGGAAACAAATCATAGAATGTTTCTAATCATATATTCTAACAATAACATGGTACATACATTAGAGCACAGCAAAACAACCCATTCTTAGTTGTCAAAGAGAGATCTCAATAACGGCCATGGTACGAAAATAAACGTCCTCCAATGGCTAGGTCTCACTAAGGATGCCACTAATAGATTCATCAAACTATAGGACATTCATTCAATTGGAAACAAAATCATAAAGTTTTCAAACATAACTTTACAATAATATTACTCACAAATGGCTCTTGAACAATGGGTAAACTCTTCTAAAGCTTCACCTACACAAAGTAAGAACAAGGTATTGAAATGTCTAACTTAACTTGCATGAACATAACAAAGCGAGTGCCAAAACTTAACTTAGTGTTTTGCTAAACTTCGCTCAAGTGTTGAATACTATTCTAGGCTTAATTCAAGTCTCAAACAAGTGTTAAATGCAAGCATGGAAGGGTCCTAAGCAAACAAGGCTTGAAAAACTGAACATAACAAGTCGCAAGTGCAATGCAAAACAAATGGGTTAACCGAATTCTAAACTTCATTCCTTGGTTTTTCTTATTAAAAACAGTTTCTGATCTCTATTTAATTCCATTTTAGGTCTAAAATAAGTTCTATGAGGTCCGGTGTGTTGGAACAAGTGAAAAGGGGTCGAATTGGGTGAACGCCCTGTTTGTTGCACCTGTCGGGGCACGTGCGGGACAAGGTGCAGGAAGGTTGGGGCATGTGTGGGAAATTTGGCTGCACGTGCAGTTATTTCAGAATGCAAAATGGGTTTTGGAGGGTTGGGCCGCACGTCTGGGAAAGCTAGGGCACGTGCGGGAAATTCTGGGTTGGATGGGTTGAAGCTGTTCTTCATGTTCTAACTTGATTTTTTTCACCCCTAAGCTCCAGAACATGATATATAATGTGCCAAAACATGAAAATATGATGCAAAGTCCATGAAAACTCATTTGAATGCATGAATTCAAGATTTAAACCAACCAAAAATGAGATTTGATTCAAGAACTTTACAACCTAACTTCTTTTCAAACCCTTTCTCATTTTCATCATTTCAATCCTTCAAAACATGATGTTTAAGGTTTCAAAATATGAATTGATGATGTGTATTTCATAGATGAACATATATATGCAATGAATCCTAAACTTAATCAAATCAAAATATGGTGTTTCTTAGCAAATCTTCAAGACTACTTTCTTTTCCTTAACTCTCTACAAAACTTCAACTTTAATCCTTCAAAATCTATCCTACATTATTTTCTATCTAGCTTAGGATTTCTTACCTAGAAATGGTTTTTCCTTGATTTTCCAAGGTTAAATCTTGAAGCTCTATGATTTCTCCTCCTTCCTCCTCTCTTTTCTAGCTCCTTTCTCTCTCCAGAATACAAGAATGACCCCACAGCTTCTCATTTCTTCTCTTTTATTTTATATGATTTGATTAGCTTAAGTCACTGATTGCTCCATTAGCTTAGTTAACCAAGCTTAGTTCTAATTAACATACTTAAACAAATAATTTCTGCAATTAAGGTAACCATACTAACTTCTTTTCTTCTAATTCGTTGCAAAGCCTACTTCAAGTAAGTTTATAACATAAGACAAGATTTATGGTATTTTGTGTAATGTGATGGTCAACGGAATAGTTAATTTGACTTAAGGTTTTCAAAGATGGATAATGATATGGTTATGGCTCGTGGCATTATTTGGGGTGTTACAGTAAGCCTTTTGAATCTCCAGTTCCAGCATACCCATCGTCTAATTCAATTTTGTACCAAGCACCGGGCATGGATATATCATATAGATGTATCCCATTGTTTTGATTTCCTACCATACCTTGGCATTATCATTCTATCTAGCACTAATATATCCAATGTGCCAAATGTAGACTTTGTATCTAAGAAGATGGACACGGACACAGCCACGGCGATTTCAAAAAAATGGTGATATTACATCAACACATATTATTGATTGATGTTTATTACAAGATTGATGATTTCTGTATATTACAGTTCCTATATATAGAGGAGAAGATGGTAGTGGAGTGTGTGATAGTGGAGGTGGTAGGTGTGGAGAAAGATAGTGGAGGTAGTAGGTGAGTGGTAAATTCTAACAGTGATATTACATCAACACAATCAAAATTAGCAAAAATTAATGCCAATTCGATATTTAAAAAAATCACTTTTAAAGTAACACTTACCGTTTACATCTTTTTATTTTTATTTTTATAGATGATCTATTAAGTATTTTAATCTAAGCAAAAAGGAATAAACATCCATTAAGTATTTTCGTCCTTGGAGTGTCTCCAAAGTGTACCTAGTGTGTCCCCTAAAAAACAAATAAAAATAAAGGGTCACACCACGTGGCGTGTCCCATGTGTGTCCCCACCATGTCCCTGTGTCCAACACACCACACTATGGCATTTATTTTGAAGTGTTGTCCTTTATAGCTTTGTATCATTGCCATTAGATAACTATGGCTTTCCTGTGATAGCAATTTATTTTGTCCAGAATCATATCTTGTCATGCAGACTCTTTGGCAATTATAAGGTCTACTGTCACTGTTTTTGGTAATTTGACAACAAATATTATACCATCATTTTTGTTGTGGTGGAAAACACTACTGCAGTATGTGTTCTTTCTCAAGATATCATTTTTTTTGGCGTTATCATTGATGGTTTTACCCCAAAATTAAATTCTAAGTGCAATACTATGAGTAAGATGTTGTAGATGCAATTTGTTGTTCTTTTGTAATATTTCTCTTGAATTTTTAATATTTGTTTGATGGAAACTTCACTTTTACTACTTTACTCTTCCATTTGTAATGCATTCTCTTTACTGGTACTTGCCACTACTCTGATAAAGTTCGTGTTACCTTCTTTATGGTTTCAGGTCTCGGTCTAGGAAAATTATCGAGAACATTCGCACTGAATTCAAAATTCAAATAGAGGTTAGCTGGATTTAAGTTTTCACCCTGACATATGATGATCTTATCTTAACTCTAATTGTTTCAGTAATTAAGTCAGCAGGTTTAACAGTCTTTTGTTGCAAATAAATAGAAAGGTTAGGTGTCCAATCAAATGTGCTCAGGTCCCATATTGGCAGTATTAAAACTGGGTTATGGCCTTCTTTTCTATGAATCATGTAATTTCATCAATCATCATACTTTAAAACCTTCAGACTTAATTGTTGTGGTATCAATATTGTCATCATGATCATTACGGATTCACCCAATACTACATTGTTTGTTAGGAGACTAGGAGGGCTGGAGAATTAAGGGGAATGGAAGGTGGGAAGGATGGAACAAGTTACCGGTAAAGGAAAGATAAGCAAGAAGGGTAGGAGGAAAATGTGTTGCATGAATTTACCATTATACCCTTGTTTATTAAGTCAAAGGTGTTGTTTGAATGGAAAATTCATAGAGGAAAGGTTTCTATCTTTTCTTCCTTTTGTGCACTTTTAGGTGGGAAGAGAATAGTGGGATTGGATAAAAGTCATGAAACTATCTCACTTCTTCATCACTTCCGAACTAACGTTGGAAAGTTTCTTCGTCTCCTACTTTTTCCTTCATGTTGTTCGCCCTATTTTGACTACTAACCAAATTGAACCTTAGTCTTGGTGTGAATTTTGTATCACTGGCTCATGGTACTGGATTGTGTGTGGTATGCATAAGAAGGCAGTAAAATTTTCTTGTACTGGTTTCTCATGTAAATTGAAATTTGAAAGCATTCTTTGCAAATATCACCATAAGATTAAAAGGATCTACGACAATAAGTAATCAACCTTTCTACAGGTTAGACGATTGCCTGTTGGAGATGGAATCTGGATAGCTCGGCATAAACATCTTGGCAGTGAATATATTCTTGATTTTATTGTTGAGAGGAAGAATGTTGATGATTTGCGCTGCTCAATCAGGGACAACCGCTACAGGGATCAAAAACTACGACTTTTGGTATTGATTGTTATTCAAATAACTATACATTTTATTGTTCTTTGTAATTTAAGCATTATTTATAGCAGAAAAGTTATTCATTGTAGTCATCTTCTATTCTTCTTCCTCTTCTTCTTGGTGCTACATTACAATCCCAAGAGATGGCTTTTGAAATTTCATTTTATTGATATCTATATTTCATTTTAAATGGTTACCCAGGCCTATATATGTTGCTTGGCTGTCTCTGACTTTGACTGGGACTGTGACTTCAATATGAGTAGCTGTCTTGTATGAAAATGAAACCCATCTGAATCAACCAAATACCGAACATGTAAAACCTGCTTACGTAGCTTGACTGGGACTGATTGCCCTAGACCACCAATTCTGCCCATGCCCAGAAAACTCTTGATATTACTAAAACATCCTTGCTTTGTTAAACTGATGTAGTTCTATTGTGAAAGTTAAAAGTGTAAAGATTGTAGAAATTAGGGTTAGGATTAAGTAGAGAGAAGAAGAGAGGAAATAGGTTTTGGGTTCTTAATCCAGCCCTTCACCTCAACACTTATTTATATTAAACTCAAGTGTTACAATATGACAATAGTACCTGTCATTATAGAATTGAATACACACTCACACATGACTATTCTAACATTCTCCCTCAAGCCGGTGCATGGAGATTGAACATGCCTAGCTTGACAGATAGGCGCTAAAATGAAGGATGGGCTAACGGTTCAGTAAGAATATCACCCAGTTGATTATTAGACCGAACATAGGGGGTCACAAGCAGCTGCTTTTATAATAACAAATCCTGAATGAAGTGACAATCAACCTTAATATACTTGGTGCGTTCATAAAATACCGGATTATTGGCAATGAAGATAGCCGCTTAATTGTCACAACATATGTGCATATGGTTAGGTAATGACAAGTAGAGATGGTAATTTGAACCCGACCCGACGGGGACCCAACCTCCCGACCCCGGTTTGAGCCGTTTTTTCCCCAAAAATACCCCCGACAGGACGGGGATGGTATTAAAAAATCAATCCCTGATCAATTTCGGGCCGGGGACGGGGATCAGTGCCCAAGCCCCATCCCCGGCCTGGCCCCGTCTCGGTTTGTCCCTGAAATAAAATTACCATTTTACCCCTATATATATATAAAACTAAACCCTAAAACATTACACAATCACACACACAGACCACCGCTTCTCTCCATCTTCTCTCTCGGTTTCTCTTTTCCCTCTCTTTCAGTAGATCGAGCAGCAGCGGTAACGAATGGACGGTGTCACAGTCTCCGATCGTGTACAGGGGGAAGCAGTCGGCGCCGGAGGCGGCGTACATGACGAAGCACCTCCTCAAGAGCACCGTTGTCGGCCGGTGTCGCAGTTGTTGATCGCTGATCGTCCACACACTCTCTCTCTCTCTCTGTGACATAGATCTGTATGTGTGTGTATCTGTCCATTTTTTTTTTGCTAGTAGATCTGTTGATGATGCCGATCGTCCACTCTCTCTCTCTCTCTCTTTGTGTGACACATATCTCAGACCTGTTTGTGTATGTATCTATACATGTATGTCTGTGTGTATCTGTCCATTTTTTTTTTCTTTTGGGTTTATGATCTGTTGATGATTGTGTTGATATGTTGATGTTGAAAATGATATGTTGATGTTGATGATTCTGTTGGTGATGTTGATGATGATGATGATGTTGTTGTTGGTGGTGTCAAAATAGATTTGGGGGGCGGGGAATTTTCGGGGTCGGGGAAACCCGATCCCCGTTAGGGGGCAGGGATGGGGACGGTGGTAGGTTTCCCGTCGGGGATTGGGGCCGGGGACGGGGAGATTTTTTCACAATCGGGGATCGGGGACAAGGAGTGTGATCTCCGTTCGCGCCCCGGCCCGTTGCCATTCCTAATAACAAGTCCAAAATCCTGTAGAAGAGAACGAACCTACAGCATCTTGGATGCCGTATAAGCCATAGCATAGTACTTAGTCTTGACACTAGATCAAACAACAACATTTTGCTTCTTGCTACGCCAAGTAACTATGTTATCACCAACGAAGGTACAATAAGTCGAAGTGGAATGATGATTAGTACGACTACCAACCCAACTCATATCACTAAAGCAAGTGACAGACGAAGAAGTAGAAGGACAATATAGTAGACCGTGGCCATAGGCACTCTTCAAGTAACTTAAAATACGACACAAAACATCAAAGTGAGGATGGTGAGAAGCATGCATGAATTGGTTAACTACACTTGGATCATATGTAATATCTAGACGTGTGACAGTGAGATAAATCAATTTCCTAACCAAACGATGATACTAACTAACATCGGAAAATAACTTGCTATGCTTACCATCAAGTTTGGCAAATGAGTCCATAGGAGTATCAAGGGCTCGGGCACACAAGAGGCTAGTCTCAGAGAGAAGATCAAGCACATATTTCCGCTGAGAAACGAAAAGACCTTAAGAAGAACAAGCGACCTCAATCCCAAGAAAATACTGAAGATTCCCCAAATCCTTATTATGAAACTGTTGGCTTAAATAGTATTTTAAATCAACAATCCTAGTAGAGTCATTGCCGGAAATGATAATGTCATCCACATAAACAATCGAGACTACAACCTTGGTGAACAAAAACAAAATGATTAGAATTGCAACGCTTAAACCTAAAAGCAAGCACAATAGTACTGAAGTGGTCAAATTAAGTATGAGGAGATTGCTGCAGTGCATACAAAGCCTTCAGTAGGCGACAAACAAGATGCTCATTACTAGGCACAACATAATTAGGGGGTCGGTCATCCTTTTCTTGCTAATCACCATAGAGAAAGATTTTTTATATCAAGGTTATATAAGGGCCAAGAAAAATTGACAGCAACAGAGAGAAGTATCCAAACGGAATTGAGACTAGCCACAAGGGAAAAGGTCTTGTGATAGTCAACACCATAGGTTTGGGTATATCCCTTGGCAACTAGGTGAGCCTTAAGGCATTCTAAAGAGCCATTAGGGAGTTACTTAACAATATAAATCCAATGGCACCTAACAATAGACTTCCTAGGCGGGAAAGCAGTGAGCTACCATGTCAAATTCCATTGAAGAGCACTTATTTCCTCATCTATAATATGTTTGGAATAGAAAGAGATGACAAACTACAAGCAAAGTAAAGAAAGACAAGAAACACGAGCATAGGAAACAACTTGGGAAATAGGATGCTGAGTGCAAGTACGTTTACCTCGATGCAAAGCAATAGGCAACTGAATAGAGGTTGGAGGAGAGGATGTGACAAGAACCTCTGACGAAGAAGATGAATTGGTTGGGCCATACATTTTAACTCTTTGAGTTTGGGATCTCTGGTTGTTTCGACCCAATCCTGCCCTTAGAGGTTTAGGCCATGACCGGCCAGTAATCCTAGAATACCCGGCCTCAAAGACAAAACAAATAATCAAAATATATAATTAAATGTACGGCGCCCGAAGCGGAAGCAGAATATAAAATTTGTTCATTGAGTGGTGGATACATGACATGAACGGAAACATACATAGCACATCATACATATAATATTTACAAACATTCATCCTGTATACATAACCCAAGGTCAAAACTATAATATAACTATACAAAACCAAAGGTTCGCAAGCATGGCCAAAACAAAAGCTAATGCCTCGACGAGGAGGCACATCTTGGGTGGCTTCACAAAAAGGGGCTGACTCCAAAGCAGTCTCTAAAGTGAGTCTTGCTGATGCTCACCTACATATATATATATATATATATATAAACGGATTGAGCTGGGAGCCTAGTGAGCAATCTCAATGTAAAGAGGTTAAATGAATGAATACCATAACTTATCAAAACAATACAATGATCTTGACATAATTAAAGCATGTTCTAGAAACGTATAAGAACAAATACAATCATCAAACCTTTCATAGCTTAACACATTGTGTAGTACCCAAAAGCCTTATTTAACTTGATGAAATACCAAACGGAACATTCACAGCAGAATGAGTCATTCTGAACGCCTTTATTGGACAGCCTCATATGGAACATTCATATTGGATGACTTCATTCGGAACATCGACATTAGATGACTTATGCAGAATGTCTATTATGGGTAGATATCATACGGAATGATCACCATCAAAGCCATACGGAACGCTCACTTTGGATGACTCATACGGAATGTTTATTACATGTAGATACCATACGGAACGATTACTATCGAAGTCATGCGGAATGATCATCAAAGATCAACATCATACGGAACGTTTACGAGTCAATAACTTATATCGAATGTACACGATAGAAGACGCAACGGAAGTTACCGGAGATCAAAATATATTTTCCAATTTATCATAATAGTTGTTCAAAAGGGAACTCATTCATTCTTAGCAAAATCTCATTTTCGGAAAGCTTATCATATCATATTCATTTTGGAATTTCATAGCATAACTTGGCGTCTCAAAAGTACTTATTCAGAAAGCTTGTCATATCAGGAGCAATCGAAAATTCGTAACATATCTTATCTTTTCAAAAATTACTTGTCTTATCAAATATCTCGTAACAAAGTATAGATTTCGTAATTCATCGTATAGCAAAACCAATTTCAAAGTAGTTTATACAAAAATATCTTTACAAAGACATTACTCACCTTGACTAGTTCGATGTTCCTCTTCGACGTTCCAACTTACACATTACCCATAACTATACACATTGAAACACGATGTTCGAATCAAATAATTCATATTTTCTTTTCTAACTCAATTACTTATGTCAGTTTCTTACTTATTATTCTTCAATGAGTCATGTTTCATGCCTACGAATGCTCAGAAAGACACGAGGACGAAGATATGAACACAAAACATCTTTCCAAAATGTGTTGAGATAGGGGCGTTCGCTCGAGCCACCATTTGGTTGCTCAAGCGGTTAGAGAGGTCCCCAAATTACTGGATTGGTTTGATGTGCGCTCGAGCCAACACTTTATTGCTTGAGCGGATTCCAAACATATATAGTGAGTTTGCTT